TTGGTATCCATATACTCATAACTCATGTAAGCTCAGAAAATAGAAGAGCAAGATTTTTATTTTTTTTTTAAAAATATATTTTTTTATATTTTTCTTGATATGAAATAAAAGAAAAATTTATTGCCTTTCCCCGGCAACGGCGCCAAATTTGACGTGCACTCGTCGTTAGGTGCACTCAAAATAAATAATCAATACGACACAAATACGTAGTATAGTGCAGTAAGGTTCGTATCCACAGGGAAAGGAATACTTTTCTTTTATAATAGTAGTAACAAAAGGGGTTTTTAGATTTGTTTGTTTTAACAACACTAAGATAAACAACCTATATGAGTTTAATGCAATGAGATGAAGACTTGGTCTTGCTTTTATCCACTTAATGAAATGTTCGTCGATCCCGGTTATATCTTTAACTATCTTCCTCTCGAATACTCAATCGAGGAGTATATCCAGTTCATCGAGGGTAGTTATTAATAACGAGATGCGTTCATTAATAAAACTTACTATCGAGTCAATATAGAACAAGCGCCGTATATTAACTTGATAGTAGCAATAAACTTAAGATGAAAACGATTGAGATTGATAACCTCAACACAAGCGGTTTATTGGTTTAATCAATATAATTAATTCCCCTTGGCATATTAACCATGAGATGCATGCATTAATATTCCGAGTTTACTACCGTTGAAAGAACCGGATTAATAACAAGCGTATTAACCGATTGATTCTAGTAATAATTAATATGAGAAACAATACTAGTTGATACTTTAAGTAATGTTTAAGATATTAACATGAAATATGAATAGGAATTAATTAATACTCAAGGAAGAATATTAAAATATATGAATCCTACTATGATTAATATCAAGATGTTAACTAATTGTCATCTTAGTAACACTCCCCGATATTATCATAGAGGAAGAAGTAGCTATTACTATAACCAATGTCAAGATGTTAACTAATTGTCATCTTAGTAACACTCCCCAACTTTGATATAGAGATAGTATTTTGAAAGAAAGAATTAATATTCAAGGAAGAAGATTAAAGAAAAATAACTCACAACTTACAAATTCATTAAGCTTCAAAGTAGCAAAACCAAGATGGAAGAGTTTAGCTCCTCATTTGGAGACTAAACATGATGAAAAATATAAAGAAAGAGCTATTCTATACTGAGCTTAGATGTATAAGGGATTGGATATCTTATTGTGAAGGAAAGGGGTGTATTTATAGGCTTTTGGGAGCTGCAGGGGCTGATACCCGACCGGGTATATAGGATACCCGATCGGGTATCTTAGGAAATTTCCCGGAAAACCACATTTCTGGACATACCCGGTCGGGTATGTCGGTTTACCCGATCGGGTATGTGACAAATCTTTACGAAAATTTGCTCCCACGATCCTTTGTTCCCGGATTTGATTTGGACAACCGAATCAAGCAAATACCCGATCGGGTATTGCCTATACCCGACCGGGTATACGAGTATTTTTTCCAAATCGAAATCTTTCTTGTCTCCTTGCACTTTCCTTGATCTTTTGAGGTCCAATCTTGATCCCTTGGATGATCTTTGACCTGTTTAGCTCAGAAAAGTCCTAATCTAAACAAATTACAAATAAATATGAAAATAAAGTATTACACCAAAAGTGTGTAATTTCCTCAACTAGAACTAATAAAAACTAGTTAAAAATACAAACATACAATCAGAAATTACATGAATATCACCCCTGATTGTAAAACCAGTAGCTTATAACCTTTAACTCCCTCAGGATAACCTAACATTACACACTTTAAGGCTCTAGGTTGTAATTTACCTTGAGAAACATGGGCATAGGCTGCACACCCAAAAGGCCTCAAATGAGAAATGTTTGGTTTAAATCCAGACCACATTTCCTGTGGAGTTTTGAAACTGATCACAGAAGATGGGGATCTATTTATTAGGTAAGAAGCAGTAACCACTGCTTCACCCCACAGGGAATTACAAAGGCCTGAACTGATGAGCATACACCTTGCCTTTTCAAGCAGGGTTCTGTTCATCCTTTCAGCAGTGCCATTCTGCTGAGGAGTACCCGGGACAGTAAGTAACCTTTTAAACTCTTCATTTTTGCAAAAGACATTGAATTCATTGTTACAGAACTCAAGACCATTATCAGTTTTCAAAGCTTTCAGTTTAAAATTGGATTGAGACTCAATCAATATTTTCCAGTTTTTAAAGTTCTCAAAGCATCCTTAGTTTTTAACAAGAAAACCCACACCTTCCTTGAAAAGTGATCAACTAGAGATAGAAAATATTTCCTACCTCCAGTTGTACTCACTTTAGAAGGTCCCCATAAATCAGAATGAACCAATTCCAAGGGAGCAGAAGCAACATAAGATGATTGTTCAAAAGGATGCCTAGTTTTCTTGCCAAAAACACAGTTTTCACAAAAAACAAGGTTTTCAGGTTTAAAGTCTAAAAAACCAGTTTTAAACAGCTTATTCAAACCCACATTCCCAATATGACCCAATCTGTTATGCCAAATTTCAGTTTGCTTTTGAGTTGTGCTATTATTAACAGAAGCAGCTAAGTTAAGTTCAAGGGAGCAATTAACTAAGTAAAGTCCCCCACTTTTATTAGCTTTAATAAGGTCATTTCCATTTCTGGAAACCACCTTATATCCATCTTGTGTATTAATAGTGCAACCCAGATCATAAAAAACAGATTCAGATAGGAGGTTCCTTCTTAAGAAGGGAACCCATCTAACATTTTGGATAACCCTTACAACCCCATCAAACATCCTCAGCGGAACATTACCCACACCTTTGATATCTAGGGCAGTATTGTCTCCTAACATTACCTTTCCCCCATCATGAAGAGTCAGGGAGGAGAAGTAGGCCTTGTTAGGAGTTGCATGTAATGTACACCCAGAGTCTAAAATCCATTCATCATTCAAAGAAGATCCAGAACAAACAAGCAATTCATGTTGAAAAACATTTGCAGATTCTGTGTTAGAAGTAGGGTTAGGATTAGCCTTGTTATCACCTTGTTTATCCCTTTTCTTCTTCCTACAGTCTCTTGCAAAATGTCCTTCAATGCCACATTAGTGACACTTGAAGGTTTTCTTTTCAGAATTATCTTTATCAGTTTTATTCTTCTTCTTAGAATTGTTCTTTTTATTCTTTGGTTTCCCTTTAATCATAAGAGCTTCATTTTTGGGCTCAGTTTTCTCAGTATTAGAGGGATCAGATTTAGACTTAAAAACTTTAACAGATTCATTTTTCTCAAGTATAGCATCAGTGATCTTACCAGGTGTGAGATCCTCATTAGAATACTGGATGACATCTTTAAAGTTATCAAACTGTGTAGGTAAAGAATTTAACAGAATAACAGCTTGATGGGTGTCTTTTATCTTTTCATCTACCTTTTCAATTTCTTGAGTCAATTTCAGAAAATTATCCAAATTCTCAGACAAAGACACAGAAACATTCATTTTGAAGGTAAACAGTCTACAGAGCAGAGAGATCTTTCTAGACATAGATTTTTTCATATAAGTGGACTCAAGGGTATCCCATAACACTTTAGGGTCAGTGATTGTGGAAAGTTTTCTAGCCACATTATCAGAAAGATGAATAATCAATTCAGAATATGCAGCATTTTTCAGTTCAGTTAGATCAGAACTAGACACATTGGGAACAATATCAGAAGAGACAACTCCAAAGCATTTCTGCTTCATCAGGAGAGCTTTCATCTTAAGCTGTCACATGGGAAAGTCACTGATACCATCAAAGATTCGAATCTTGGTACCAGTGTCAGACATATTTGCAGATTAAGATCAAGATATAAACCAATAACAGCCACAGAAGTCAATCAGACAAGAACAGAAAGAAACGCAATCAAGATTCGAACTGTTTTGAGCTAGGGTTTCAGGATCGAATAACAGTAAACCAAAAATTAGGGTTTCTTGAAAAAACTCAATCAAATCAGAAATTTAGATTAGGTTTTCAAGAATCTAATGTAAAGGCTCTGATACCAAAATTGTTCACAGACTATATTGATAATCACAGTCAAAATATCGGATTCAAGTATCAAGCAGAAAATAAAGAACACACGATATGTTGACGCAGTTCGGATAAATCCTACTCTGCGGGGTTTCAACAGGGGAAACCCGGTCCCAAGAATCCACTAGCTCAGAAAAGTTTGAATACACAGATGGTTGCAAAGCAAGGAACAAAAGTAACAGATCTAACACACTAGAATCAGTCAAATACGAGCAAACGAATAAAATAAGAAAAGGAACAGAAATAACCGGACGAAACACCCAAAACCCAGGAGTTATCAGATTCTTGGCCTCGAATCAACTGCACTGGATCAACGTCTCAGCACACGGTATAATCCTTGCCTTTCTCAGCTTATTCCGAAATCCAGTGTATCTCAGATCACGAAAAAGAAGAAAACCAGAGGTTAACTCTTCGCAAGCTCTCTCTCTCTCTTATCGTTCTGTATTAGGGTTTCAATATGGCGTAATAGATGTCTCCAGAAGAAGGAAGGAGACTATTTATAGGCGAGAGAAAGAGTTGGACCAAAGTAATAAGAACCGAGCATACTTCGGCTGAAACAGGCCCAATCCAAAGAGGATAAAGCTGAAACGGGCCAGACCTATTTAATGGTCCAATTGAATAATTCAATTAGAGTCCATTAAATATAATTACTTTCTAACCTTGCTTTACCTTCCTATCTAAGTATTAAAACATCAAGTATAACATAACTAGAATTAGGATTACAAATATAACAAAATCATTAATGTATTGCAGATTATTTAGCTTTTGTGCTTTATTCTCTTAACATTTATTTTGTGGGTTTTTACTTCAAGATCCTTATTTAATCTACTTTCACAAATTCCGTGGTCTTCTTCATTGAATAACAATAAATTGGTTATAGGTTTCAGGGTTGGCTGTCAATATTGAAGATTAGACTTGGAGTTGGAAAGAACTCAAGTAGTACAAAAGTGTAGAACAAATAAATTCTAGAATTACTCAGAAGCAATAAATTCTACTTTTATTTAGGATAATTTGTGTTTATATTTTCTTCACTAATTCACAACTACTTCAAATAAATTGGAGAATTTGGACCTCACACACTATAATTGCTATGAGAAATGAAAACCATATTAAAAGAAAACAAAAGTTTTTGCAATCTACATTCTTCATTTTACAAAATGATAAAGGCATGCAAGCATAAATCCTTCATCTTAGAATTAGAGAACAAGAATAACCAAAACTACATATTCGATCAAGGCCTCTCCTCACTTTTCACTTCTCGACCATCTCTTCATCTTCTGTTTTGAACTTTCTGCTATAAAGAACTTTCCCATTCTTGGTATCACCATCATAAGGCAACCCATCATCTTTCTCAAACTCATTTTCATCATCACCATGATAATGTGATGTGCCTTCTTTCTCAGACTTATAAGTTTCATCACCATAATAATGTGATGTCCCTTCTTTCTCAGGCTTAACTTCATCATCATAAGGTTCTTCATCTTTCCTGAGCCTAAACGCTGTACATGCCACCACATATACAGCTAGTAGGAAGAACAGCATGATGGTATTGATAACAGAAGCCTTCCTCCAGCTATGTTTCAGGCTGCCCAGCACACCAGCTTTGCACGAATCACAGTTGTAGCAGAGTTGTTCTGGGGCGTTGTTCCATCTCCCACAATCCTGGTCAGCTGCCCATGTTCCCCTCTGGATCCTCCAAAATGTGTCATTCACATAACCATAGGCACAAGCTGTAGGCGGTTTGCAACATCCAGACTGCATATGACCATGTCATGTTTTAGGGCATTGTTAATAAGGCACACTTTGTGATGTTAACAAATATCAACCATGCAATTTGAGAAGCTATTTGTAATCTATACTATGAACCCGTTTGGTACTTGGTAGTATAAAAATCGGCTGATTCTGCTGAAATTTACGAAGTTCTGGCTGAAGTAATTGGATCGGTAGATTTCGCTGATTTATGAAAAAATGTATTTTTAAAATATATTTTATTAGTAAAATAAAGAAAAAATTAGAGTATACTAGTATGAAAAATAACTAAAAATGGTTTTCTACAGTAACTTCAGCCAATACAATCAAAAAAATAACTACAATCTTTTTTTATTATTACATAATTCAACACCCAAAATTAAAAATAAATTGTTTGGTGAAAAAATTGGTTCATAAGTCAAAACACGGATTCTAAACGGGCACTACAAAGTAAATGTCTATTTGGATGGGGAATTACGGGGGAGCAAGATTTTGGAGTTCTTAATCTATGTTTGCATATACTCTTTCCATCTCTTAAAACTTTGTCAACTTTCTTTTTTTGAATATATGTCATACTAACTTTGTCACTTTTTTTTAAATAAAGAATTTGTGGTTCCAGTTAATTCCATATCCTTCCCATAAAACTCAATCACACAGTTTTTACTTTATTAATTTTCGTGCTGATCAAACTTAACAAAATTTTGAGATATGGATGAAATATAATTGAGATCGAAATATTGACCGATAGAGTGATAGGAATATCTTTAACGTCTTCTCCTTCAAATCGATTTCGTGTCTCTCGTCGTACTCAACTTTTAGTAAAATCATGACTTCTTCAAGGCAAATTATAGAGGTTTTTTGTGCATCCGGATGAAATTTTGCACCATGATATTTTTGTATTTCATTTATATTTTCTCATTTCATAAGGGCTGAACCGCTGAACACGCACCCATTCCTTGAGACTATGTTTGGAAGTTTTGAGAGAAGGAGAGAGGAAGATTTTGGAAGTATGTTGTTGCTTATTGAGAAAGTTATGAAATTCTACTTCGTATTTAGGAGTAATAAATTTGAACGAATGGAGTTTTTGAAGGAATTATAATTAAAATCATTGTGAGATATGACGAATTCAAATAATTGAACCGGTACTCAGTTTTAATTGAGCTTAAATTACCGTTTCTTTAACCATCTTTCAAAACCCTTCAAATTGAGAAAATTTAAAACTTGATCAGATGGTTTCAGAGGATTACAAAAGCCCTCCAATACCTCCCCCTCCAATTTCTAAATCTCCCAAATCCGAAAACGTGGGTCGTAACCTCCATTAACCTTAGCTTCCCCTCCCCTCCAAAACTCAACTCCCAAACATATCATAACATACCCTAGGGTATGTTTGGGAGTTTGAAGGGAAGGTTAGGGAAAATTTTGAAAGTTAGTCATTTAAAGGGAAGAGGGAGGGGGAGAGGGGGAGGAAACTCTTGTTTGTGAGTAATAAATTTGAAAAGATAGAAGTTATGGATAAGTTATAATTGAAATCACTTCACATTATATGATGAATAGAAATACTTAAATTTATATTCTAAGGAAAGATGAGACAATTTTAGTGGGAATTTATATTGTCTCATACAAAATTTGGTAAAATTAGTGTGATTCTAAATCATTCTTATTTATTTCTACTGTAATTTGTAAATAAGAATGTCACCTCTTCATGTTCTAATATTAGTGAGATGATAGTAATTTTTCGCGTTCGATTGACCGAATACTCATTTGAATACTCTACTAAGTGTACATGATGCAACCCTTCAATGCTTTAAATATCGTCTTACACACTTCATCACGGTACCAAAGGAGCCTTAAGTTTTATAATTTGCTAAGCTCCATTTTTCTTCGATCCGTACCGGTTAAAGTATTCATATCGTTGCAGTTTGGTACATTAACTCTTAAATGGATCAAATCAATATCGTTACTATACATAAATGTTTCAAATGACAATATTATTCAAATTTGCAGCAAAAAAATTCAACATGGCGACCCAAATTCCATGTATAGAATCCACCCTACAATGATAACATGAACAAAAGTAAGGTGAAGTGGACTTTACGCATAGAATCTGGCTGCCACTATTGATTTTTTGGTTGCAAATTTGAATAATATTGTCAATTGAAATATTTATGTATAGTTATCGTACTGATTTGATTCATTTAAAAATTAAGGTACCAAAACGCAACAATACATGTGATTAATGTACCATTGATGCATTTCACCACATTCATACTCTTTTTATTGGACTCAACACTCGTACACATTTTGTTCTCGAGTCATGTTTTTTACCGTTCACCTAATCATTTTCATTATATTCCAATCTGTAGTCATGTTATTAGCATGTACAACTAATCAAATAATCAATAGTTACAATACTAACTAGAAAACTTCTAATTTGAATTATTATTAATATTCAAAATGTAGATCTTGGGAAGCTTCTATTGAACTGAAAAAATAGAAAATTCTTACATAAGATTAGAAGATAGGCATACAGCGAACAGAATATATGACCACCGCTATTTTCTACTCCCTCCGTCCCGCTAACAATGGGACAAGAGGGAGTGACATGCAAATTTATAAAAAGTGGTTTATATGGTTGATATTGAATTGATAAAGTAAGATTAAAGTAAGAATGATTTAGAGCCGCACAAACTTTGCCAAATTTGGTATGAGACAATCTTAGTGGGACGGATCGATAAGGTAAAATGAGATAATCATAGCGGGACGGAGATAGTACTAAAATAAGACTCATTAACTCTTAATTGATGAAATTTTAAACTCGTACTTTAAATAGTGTCAAATAAGTCCTTTTAAGGGGATTACAAGCACATAATAGTCATATGAGAATATTGCCTGAAATAGAACTAAAACAATTTGAAAATTCCAAAATAGGATTGACATGTTTTTATTCTCAAAATAGGACTAATTACTGTTATGTTTTGGCAGTACCAGACTTCAAACATGTCAGTATTTTCTAAACATGAAAGTAATTAGTCCTATTTTAGGAATAAAAAACATGACAGTCCTATTTTGGAATTTTCAAACAGTTTTAGTCCTATTTCGGGAACTTTCCCGTATCAATTATATACTCCATCCGGTCCTAAATAAACTTCACACTTTCCATTTTGGGTTGATCCAAAATAAACTTCACACTTCTTCTCCATTCCTTATTTGACAAATTATCTACATCAAAACAGTGCAAAACAGTGCCAAACGGTGTTAAACAGTGTCAAACAGTGTCACAACAGTGTACTCTACAGTAAAGTTAAATTTATTTCCTTAATTTGTGTGAAGTCAAAGTGTGAAGTTTATTTAGGACCGGATGGAGTATATTGTTCTCTTGAATAGTAAACTAATTCTGGTTAACCCTAAAATTGAAATATTTGGATTCACCACTAACCTGGTGACCGAGAAAAGGGCATATATGTAATTATGTATGGTACCTCAATGGGGCTAAGCTCTCTTCTGTAAAACACAGCTGCAGTTTGAGAAATTACATTACCACCCCTCCTCATCATGCTCCCACAAACCTCAGAACCCCTAACACAGTAACTGATCTCCCTCCAATTGCCCGCACTGGTGACCGTCTCCTTCAGCCACCGGTCCGGGAAATCCAGGAGGAAATACTCCATATACATCCGATTCAAGACAGGCCGGCCCGTCCCTTCGGTGACGCCGTAAGCGAAAAAGAGGAACCCGACGAGGACAACCATGATGCCGAAAGTGCACCAAATGTAGACGTAAATGAGGATGTCGATCCCGTAAAAGGCGCCCGCGAGGCCAGCGACGGAGACGACCATGATCGCGACGGCGATCAGGATGATGGGCCAGTGCAGGAACTCGAAGCAGTCGGTGCTTTTAGCTCTGCTTCTCACCCATACCCCGCCGACCAGAATGGGGATGGCGGATAGGAAGCTTAAGCAGTTCATTAGGGCTATGCATGGGTTTTTGCAGGCATTAATGCTCATGGTTAAGCCAGCTAGCTGATATGGAGTACGTTTTAACTCTTTCTTTTTCTCAGATCAGCTCTCTGGTTGGTGGAGTTTGATCAAGATCGAGCTTGGAATGAAAAAGGTTTGTAGCTAGGCTTTATGGAAAGGCGTCAGTGACAGGTGATTTGAGTAGAAAGACCGTTGTTGCATGAAAGTGTATATTGACGGTAAAAAAGAAGTTACGCGTATACTTTTCCTCTTCTACTCCTTTTTCCAGGTAGCTACCCATACTTACCAATGGGGAGTCTCTCCCTTCAACCGTAGGAGATCTCGAGGTCCACATCTCAAAGCCGTCATTTTCCCCGTCGTACAGTGTCCTGCCCCAACGCACTCTGCCGCACGGTAGCGGATCTCAATCCGCTACTAATACTTCGTTACGTGACTTTTGTGAGAATAATGGAACATGATGCTCTCTAAGGAGCCCTGACAGATATAATTATAATAAAAGAGTTTAATGTAAAGTACAATACTAATGGTTTAATAATTCTATCACACCCCCTCAAGTTGTGCGGGAGAAACAACGCGCAGGTTGTCTTTCAAAAAAGGAAGAAAGATAAAAAATGACATTAACGTTTTTAAGGAAACTCAAATTAGACACTAAGGTTTTAAGTAGACCAAATAAACACAAAATTGTAGTTTTTAGTTCCAATTTGACCACTCTTTAACGTTTGTGTTAAACGGCCCTTTGATAGGCACTAGTTGTTAGTGCCTAAGTATACATTTTTATTATTGTTTGTAATGTTTATTTACTAGTTTTGTGCAAGTTTATAGTTGTTAGTTTGCATTTGATTGTAATCGTATTTCTAACATTTTATTGTTTGTTGTAAGTTGTAGTTAGTTTGACAATAAGTTTAGGATAGATTTGGAAGCAAAAAGGATGAAGAAACCTGAGTTTTGTGCAAAACCCGGTCGGGTATGGACTTTACCCGGCCGGGTATGAAGTGACAAAGGAAACTGCTGCAAAACTAGCAAATACCCGGTCGGGTATTCCATATACCCGGTCGGGTATTCTGTGATTTCAGACCAAAGAACGTGCAGAAGACACAAAAATTAAGGAAAATATTTGATTTGGTAAATACCCGGTCGGGTATGTCAAAATACCCGACCGGGTATCACTACTAGAAAAAGGGCTTTTAACAATGAAAAATATTGTCGTTATAGGCTCAAAAGTTGGTCGTTAAAGCTTTTAACGACCACTTTTTTTTGTCGTCAAGTGGTTGTTATAGGCTCCGTCGTTATTGATTTTAACGACCAAGTTCGTAGTTAATAATATTTAACAATTAACGACAATATACAATCTCATCGTTAGTTATTAACAACAATATACAACCTCGTCGTTACTTATTAACAACAATATATTCACTCATCGTTACTTAATAACGACAAGATATTTAATCATTCATTATATGTAAATAATGATAATCGTTTTATAATAACCACCACAACCCCACGTAAACATTTCTTTAACAAACTATATGTTAAGTTTTTAAAAATTATAATATTTATAATATTAACAAAAAATGCAGTATATATCAAATTAAAGTTTCAATCTTCCAAGTTCCAATACATCGAATAGTCAATAAATGTCTTTACACGTGAAAAATGTTGTAAGTTGACACAATAATCATCATCCACATAAACAAAACAAACAATACTTTATTCTAAAACATATGTACGAATCATCAACAAAATGAATAAGACAATACTAAATCAAAAACTAGCAATTCATCAACACTGCTGCAACTTCTCATCGGCAATGCTGCAGCTTCTTAACGACATTGCTGCAACTCTCCATTTCATTCAGTTATTCATCAAATTAATCAAAGGAACTGCTGCAATTTCTCAACAACATTACTGCATGTAACAAACCACATGTAACACAAGTATCATGATCAAATAATCAAACTCAATATAACACTTCCTAATTTAACACTATGACAACAATAACAAGATCGCCTTAATAGTGAGATTAGGTACCTTCCTATTTATCAACGAGAAATAATAAAAGTTAATAATTAATTTACTACGTAGTATATATTTAGAAAGTATAATACAATCTAAATAGAAAACAATTTTTAATGAAATCAGTTTACTGCGTTAGTTATTTTATAACACATATACATATAAAACTTAATTACAGAATTACATAAGTACACATCAATGGAACAATGAACATAAGTACATAACCATATACGTATAAAGCTTAATTATATCTAACATGTTAATTGATGTATCTAATTTTTAAACATGGGAAACTCTTAAACTTTTACCTCAAAGTGCATATTCCTTTAAAGATAACATCTTGCAAAATAAATAATGATCCATAGAAGAAAGAAGGATATTATTTTATATTCAGCAAGGAAAATAAAGGTAGAATTACAATATCAACAATGAAAGCTAGAACTAATTTTAGGAGGACCAAATAATAGTCTGTTATGGAAATGACAAGTTGCTAAATTCATAAGGAGGCAATAGAAAAGCAATTGATCATGAAAAGTAAGAAAACCAATTCTAAGTTAGAGAAGTGTATGAGGTTAACTATGAGCAGCCTTCAGTAAAAGAAAAAGGATGCTTTTGATGGGCCTAGAAGGTGATAGACATTTGAAAGCACCTATATTTAGGCCTGGGAGCAATTAGGTAGAACATATGTAAGTTTAAACAGTGAACTACAAAACAATATGACCATCTAATTAGGGCATTCCAGTATGAAAAATATATTTTATTAGGGCATTCATATATAGAGAAAAACTCACCTTTGACTCCATGTGACCAACATATATCTGCATTGATCAATAGTGTATTAAATAACCATTTTTAATAATCATTATGTAAATTTGAGCACCTATATTTACAGCTTCTTCAAAAGAGCACACACATAATTAATGCTATTTAGTCACTTTTGAGTTATAAAGGAAATTTGTACTTATAGAACTATGCATTCTAATAATGCTAGTATATTAGTGATATAGCAATCTCCATCAACTCAAAAAATAAAACTAGTGAAAAGTGAGCTAATGGTTATGTGACCCTTTTATGTTCTGTTTAAATTGAGTAAAAGCTTAGCCTTACTCTTCATAATCAATAAACAACCAATTGGTTTATCTTGGGTTTCTCATCCATGTGCATTTCTTAATTGGCTTTTGAGTTTTAGCTCTTTGAGCATCATTAGAGCAGTAGCAGGTCCACACTAACGATTTAAGATTTGTACCAAGATCTGTAGCCATAAACTTTATAAAAGTGGGTTAACCTGCACCAGTTAAATCCAACAAAAGAACACGCTGATTATACTTCATAGATCAAGCCTGAATAAAAATTATGTAAACATCAAACCCTACGTATTATAATGGTTATATATCAAAGATGTAGCAGAATAAGCATTTCTACTGAAATATGGTGGAAGATGGAGAGCAGATAGAAGCAATGGGCAGTCGGTGGTGGCGGGCAACAGTGGGTGGATCCTGAAGAGAGGTTAAACAATTCTCACTCTTGCCCTGAAAATAGAAGATAAGGTTACTAAGATTTTTAAATAATAAAGATAAAACAATCATGCCTAACAAGGGAAAATAGAAGTTGCCCCAACAAAAAATACATCCTCATATTTCTTTTGTAACAAGCGGCCCAAGTATCATTTAAGAAAAGGGCATAAGAACTTCCGCGTTAAGTTTTTCTTAGTCTTTTCTATATGATTTATGAACTTTTTCTGGTCTTCATTCATGCCCAAGATGTATAGTAGATCAACTAAGACCGAGAACCAGCAAAAAAACAAAAAGTGGTGGAATACCTTTATAATTTTACCTCATACAATATCTCCTGAAATCTTCAATATATCGACTAAGATTTTAGTGTTGGAAGGCAAGTGTCTAACAACTTAAAAAACCAATACTTTGTATATCCACAATTAAATCCAATTTCGTTTGAAGAAAAAATTTCTCGTTTGTTTAGACTTTTTTACAAACACGTTATATACATTATCATATAGTGTTTCAAAAACAAATTACGCCCTCTCTCAAAATTTAAAGTTATTAAACAAAAACGAAACAAAAATCTTAAATATTGATAGTAGTATACGGACTACTGGCCAAATCAGCCAAGAAAATCAGCGACTTATATTGCTGAAAACTTATCGAGACATAATGATTAGAATAATAAATATTGAAGACTAAACTGACCTGGAGTAATCAAAAGACAATCTTAAATTTGTTCACTGGTAGATGGATCAAGCGATGGGAGATTTAGCCCATCCAATGATGATTTATTAGGTAATGGAACGACATGAAAGATTATGCGAGAAGAAAGACGGAGCAATGGCCGCTTACCGATCGAGCGAGGCGGTTCTTTGAGAATCCTTTAAAGATCCTTAGGGCATATAAGCGCGGCCATAGAGATGATCAGCTTTAGTTCAAAGCGACGGAGATCGATGAGCAACTAATCAAATTGAAGCCAGAACTTAGGGAAAAATAGATAAACGCGGCGAAGAATAGAGATTAGGTCTTTGAACGATGTGGTGTTTTTGCCCAGTTAATTAACCGGCTCATCAAAATTGATAGTATACGGACTACTGGCCCGCTTATGGAGCGAAAATAATTGAGATTGAAAATTTTGGCACCATACTTAATCTTTACGATAATAACAATCTTAAAAAGAATAATTTTTTACTTTTCTAATTTGGTTTTAGAAATATAATTTCATAAAATGTTCTGTAATAACGATGACTAAAAATTAATGAATAACGATGACTCTTCGTAAATAGTGTTGGGTTTGTTTCGGAAAATAAAGAAAATTAATTAAAATAAATTAATTAAATAAAATGACTAGAGAAAAACAAGAAAGGAGATGAAGCAGAATTAGCCAAAGCTCGTGCTACGCACGATTTCCTTAAAACGTATTTGTTGCCTCCCACGGTGCTAGGAGCGTTGCAACAATCGTTTCCCAGGATACGATGACTACGAACTAATGTTTGAGCACACAAACAAGAGTTCCAGCGAACGAGAACCAAGTATGAACACAGAAGGATTTTGGGAGTAGCTGGAAGAGTTTTTAGCTCAAGAAAACGTGAGGAAAGTGATGTGCGTTGTCAAACCGTGTGTCTGTTGCAAAGCACCTGCCAGCTATTT